GAGAGAGAGAGAGAGAGAGAGAGAGAGAGAGAGAGAGAGAGAGAGAGAGAGAGAGAGAGAAACAGACGCAGTCTTAATACGGGGAGAGTATTTTATCATAACTATTGATTGATATATATATAAAATAATTGGGTTGTCGCCCTTGAAAATCGATTCGGATTTGTTAGCCGAAAGTGTAGAATCAACACAGTGCACGTCCGCAAGGCTTGTTCTTTGTTTCTTTGGCGTGGTTGCATACCAAATTTTGCTTTCACTAAACTGTTTTATTTACTAGCTGTACTGAACTAGGAACCAGAACAAACAAAGAGCTGAGATCTACAGCACTGTACTCTGGTCTCCTGTTGAGCTTTCGAGCCAAGGCTAGCGCTAGCAGACAAGCGAGTTCTCGTGTGCTTGCGAGACTGGACGTGACTCATCTCATCCGCCATGTTAGATTGATCATCGGAAAGTAGGAAATAGGTGATCGGAAGAAGTTGCTGTGTATGGTGGACGACTGTGCATGTTATTGCTCTTTTAAAAACTAGCCATGAGCTGGGGAACTGAACTATGGGTGAGAGTACAGGAATTTTCCCCTTCAAATTGCATGATTCGTTCAGAAAGGAGAAATTGTGTGCAAAAAGTTCTTTATTTACCCTGACAACTGAGTCTGATTCTGATCAGGACTGGATGGGGGCTTATTCTTCATCATTGACTGGTGCCGACTATCGCAATGTGTTGTTGTTTTGTGGGGTTGTTGTTTTTTACTCACGAATGTATTGAATCAAAACTTTGAGGATGTTTCGTATTGTGTTTGAATTGGGCTCTGATAGATTTCGTTATGCTCGATAAGGCTAATTAGTCAAACTTTATAGGAGCATGTGATGGTCAGATTTAAAACGAATGTGGACGAATATTGGAAGGCATATTTGTGAATGGAAGAGGCTAGCCGTACTTAATGACGGCTAGACTGTACTTATTCTTAATATGATGGCTAGACTGACCATTTACCAAAAATAGGCCTACATTTTTAGTGTGCAGTACCTAAAGTATTTGTATTTGAGACGAAACCAGGTGCCTTATTAATGACAGTGCATGTATTCTAGACCTCCTGTTTTCTAATGTTAATAGGGCCTAAGATAAGTACGGGTAGACTAAGTATGGCTAGACTTCTTGTCTAGCCGTACTTAAGTTCGGGTAGACAGCCAGGCTAGCTGTACTTCCAGGCTAGCCGTACTTCCAGGCTAGCTGTACTTAAGGACGGCTAGACTGTCAGGCTAGCCGTACTTAATATTGATGGCTGAATTGTAAATGAAATTTTTAGTTTGCAATGCCTAACCTAAAGTAGGCAAAACCAAAAGGTGCCTTACTGACTTGCATGTATATGAACCTGAATAATTACTAGATCTAGATCTAGATCTAATAAAACCTGTACACGTACTTAACAGGCTTGAGTCGATAGGGCCAAACCTAGATCTAAGTACGGCTAGCCACTTCGTTTGTGAATGTGGTCCCTCAGCCTGGTTTAGAAGGCTTTTACTTTTAGAACTCGTTCTTCTTTCTTTTTCTTTGATCAGCTCTAGGAAATTTTATAGGCCTACAATTAACATAGTGACACATGATAACGCTGTGTAGATCTACTTTAATTTCTAACTGAGACTGAGGCCTATTTAAATTACGAAGTGTATACACAGACCCGGTAACCGGGAACTAGATCTAAGTCACGAAGTATACAGACCCGGTAGGGGAACTCTTTTGTGACTTAGGAAAGTTTCAGCGCCCAGACCCGGTAGTGTGGGTGCGAGAGAGAGAGAGCGCAGGGGGAAGTGCTAGCAAAATGTACATGCCCCAGTTGGCAGGAGGGAACGAGAGAAAGATAGAGTGGAAAATAGGTGGGGAGAAAGAAAGACAGAGACAAACAAAGAAAAAGAGAATGTGAGCGACACACAGAGACAGGGGAGAGAGAGAGAGAGAGAGAAATAGATCTAGAGAAGGTGACAGCTCAATTGTTAGATTCTTATCTATGACATCATTGTTCTTTTCTTCAAAGGAACTCCAAAACGGGGGAAAAACTATCGTTTGCAATCGAAAAGACATCCGCAATCTTCATTTAGATCTAGATGTAGATCTAGGCTAGCCTCGAAACTAGACCAATGATTTTTATGTCTGTCTAGACCTAGACCTAGACCATAGATCTAGATCTAGAAGAACCTAGGTCTACCTGAGCCAAGAACTTTCCGAAATCACAAAAGAGTTCCCATACCGGGTCTGTATAGTATACTTTCTGACTTTGTTCCCGGTTACCAGGTCTGTGTACACTCCCAATTATAAAAGAAAGTGGCTATTCTCATCCGCCCGGAAGTTCTCGCAAGATCAACTCCTCCCCTCTTCTCTCTCTCTCTGTCTCTTTCTGAATACTGTCTATCGGTGTGGACGATCAAATTGACCAAAACAAAGTTTAAAAATGATGTTAAAACACAAAAGTAAATTAATTTGATTGTCTACAAAGACGCTACGGCTATTTAACTTTTCGAATCGAGCCGAACTACGCGGGTCGCCATTTTGTTTTGCCCGGAAATTCTCGCGCTACTCCTCTCTCTCTTTCTCTCTCTCTCTCTCTCTCCACTGCCCACAGACAAACTTGTACGCTTTTAGTAGGCTACAGTTGTAATGGAACGTTTGTTCACGGCACAGAATTCTTCAATTGTAACTTCAGTGTTCAAGAGTGGGCTCAACAGGACAAAACCAATTTTTAAACACTAGGCCAGGGCAGATAGAATTAGAGTTTGTATACATTTTAGGAAGGTGAGGTCATTGGGAGGATAGAATGTGGGCACAGCTAGCCTTAGAATTGGCCATTCAGTTCTGAACCCCTGTTCCTCCTTTTATTGTCAACTAGATACTAGATCTTCTAGTAAAAAATTACTTAGTCAAACTTTGTGTGGACTTAATTGTCATTTTAGTTGTTTTTCCCTTTTAATTTAATTTTCCCTTGATGTTCATTTCTCCTTCTCAGTTTCTCTCTATTCCTCTCTCTCTCTCTCTCTCTCTCTCTCTCTCTCTCTCTCTCTCTCTCTCTCTCTCTCTCTCTCTCTCTCTCTCTCTCTCTCTCTCTCTCTCTCTCCTCCTCCTCCTCCTCCTCTCCCCCCCCCTCTCTGTTTTACTTTTTTTGCATGATCTAATTGCTGTTGTATTGTTTCATGTACATTTATGATAAGAAAAGGAAAAGATAAAATTGAACAAGATCTAGGATACATTTTGTCCAAGATAGGGTTTTTTTTTCACTCTTATAGTTTTCCAGTGATTGTGAGGAGTAAAATAGTAACATTCAATGTGTGTTCAGTCTGGTGAGAAAGGGGTTTTTACTAAGATTTTTAATATGAGATTTGGAGTGGAATACATCTCTTGTTTTGACCTCAGGAAATTCATCTTTGACCATTTTCTTTGTGACAGGATCAATGGGACAACATAAATGTCCACACTCAAAAGGGTATCGACTTTTCGGAGCGGTACATCCATTTCCTGAAAGAGCGAAGCTCAGTGGAAATGGATTATGCGAGCAAATTGAAGTAAGTCCTTCTTAATTTTTACTTTTTGTTTTGACTTTACGTGTGATGTTGTATGTTGTCCAGTGTTGGGAGAAGACTGTGTTGAATATTAGCCTTGATGGCTTATGGCGATGTGTGGGAGCAGTTCAGATGTTTTGTAATTTATAATTCCAAGTCCTCATCTTTATGTCCCTAATGCTTCAATGTGCAACCATGTATTTGTTGTAACTTTAACTTGTGATACTGCAATTACTAATTACGTACTTGCACAAGTGCTCATTCAAGGTGCCCTCCACTTATTGTCCTGAGGCAGATCCGCAATAAAATTTACTAGTAAGGCAGTAAGGGCATTTATATAATTTTTATAAATGTGAACAGGCACACACTCTCTCATTCACACTCTCACCATACACACTACTCAGACTCTCTTTTCATTCACACTACAGCGCAGAGTAAGACTCGGCCATGTATGTCACTTTTCGAAATGGCGTGTGATGGAGTCTTTCATTAACCCTATCCGTATGCCCTGGGGTCATTTTGTTCCCCCAGGGTTGTATTCTTCACACTTTACAATACTTCTAGAGACGAAGATCTCTTTGAAACTTTCAGTATTTCTCAAAAAATCATTTTGACAAACTGCTTTAGATAAAGCAAAGCGTACGGATCGGTCTAACGAGTAAATCTCCTCTTTGAAAGGGGTGGCACAGAGTTCCCCATGTCATATTGATCCAAAAGTAAAACACGATGTACGGATGGGGTTTTAAGACCTAGTGTACACACACTCACATTTAAGTTTCTCTCTCTTCTACACTTGATCTCACTGTATGTTCTCTCACACCTACACAACATGCACACGTGAACTCTCTCTCTATCTATCTCTCTCTCTCTCTCTCTCTCATTCTCTCTCTCTCTCTCTCATGAACTGAACTTTGATTTAAGACTTTAAAAAAGAGGAGGTTAGCTTGGTTTAAAATTGTCTTGAATCTTCCATCAACTCAACCTTTACATGATAGCTGGCTCAGTGCTTGCAACTCATTGCCATATAATTATAATATATATATATATATATATTACAATGTATGTGTGAGTATTGTGTGTGTGTGTCTCAGAAATTGCTCAGGGTTTGTTCAAACAAGATTTTGTCTGGAATTTTTATAACATTGAGTGAATCCTGCTTCAGAGGAATTCATCACAAGAATCTTTGTCATCTTGATCACGTTTTTTTGCTCTTTTGGGGCATTTTTTTAAAGAGGGGGTAGAGGGGTTGTTAAGTATGTACATTATGTTCTGGCTTTTGTTTGTAAGTTTTTTTTCTTATATTTGTTCTCTTGTGTGTCTGTGTACATGCAATATTTACTTTGTTTCAAGAATACAGATCCCATTTGTTGTAGTCTTCCTGAAGCTGTAAAATATTCATTCCATTTCATAGTTTTGCTAGCCATTTCTTTAACTTTACATCATATTTGGTAGGTGGGTCTTGTATGTTTCTTCTTTTCTTTCTGTCTTAGCTGTCTGTTAATGTTGTCTTTGCCTCTCTCCACAACTGAATGATCAATAGTATGTCGAAGGGGGTGTAAAAATCTTGTACAGTCTAACATTGCCTCGCTCAACTTTGCCTCCCTCATCCTCTGTGAATTAGAGTCATGGATTTAGCAGCATTCCTGAAATGAGATACATCTTGGAAACACTCGTGTGTGATGAGGTGAGAGCCTCGAGTTTAAGGACTCGGTTTTGGAAAGAGGAAAGGTGAAGTGTGTAAATAGTGTAGTGGTAGCTTTTACCATGGCTAAACCCTGGGATGATTTTCATTCATAGAGGAGTCAAAGAGACTCTTTTAGGGTCTAGAGGTTTGCTCTAGATAAAGGCCGCTAGTAGTAGTGGTTTTATTTGTCGGACTGTGGACAGTCGTGACTGTTGACAGTCGTTTCCCTTCGGGATTGTCTAGGGAACTTTTGCTGTTTGTTGAACAGGGCAATGTGTAGGACTTATCAAATGTTACGTTGGTTTAGTAGGTACTTGCTTCTTTTCATCTCTCTATCTGGCTTTCTTTTCCCCTCCTCCATTCTTCTCCTGGTCTATTGTTATTTTCCGATATTTTTTTCCCCCTCTCTCTCTCTCAGCTCCCTTTCTCTCTCTCTCTGTCTCTCTCTCTCTCTCTCTCTCTCTCTCTCTCTCTCTCTCTCTCTCTCTCTCTCTCTCTCTCCCTCCCTCCCTCCCTCCCTCACGTGCGGACGTGTCAAGCTTTCTCTCTGCGTCGCTAGCTCTCGTTTATCTTTTTATCAGTGTCGTGTCCACTTCTCTGTCCCTTTCCTCCATCCCACGCTCTAAGCTATATGTGTGTGAGTGTGTGTGTGTGTGTGTGAGAGAGAGAGGGAGGGAGAGAGAGAGAGAGAGTGTAAGTGACCCTGTTTGACCCGTCCCCCCTCTATCAGAAAGCCCTTCCAAGTGTTCTTTTAAGTGGGACGCTGGTCACGACGGCTGATTGGCCAATGCCTCGCTGTTGCTTGGAGTAAATTTATGAGGTCACGACAGGCGTGCAACAGCATAACTGCTAATTACGTATTCTTTTCAGGGGCAAGAGTCATAGTCATAAACTGGTGCATTAATATCAATTAATTGAATACTTTTGGGCGGTTTGTGGGTGGTCTGTACCGGACGGTGTGTGCCTCTTTTTCTCCTGTAGCTGAGACAGCGTTTATGCTTGCTGTTGGGGTTGTGGCACGGATTCTGAGAGTCTAGTGCTCTGGTGTGGTTTGCTCCTTCTTTCTTATTCATTATATAATTATATCGTCTTTATCTCTCTCCTCCTTGTGTTTTTTGCGTTTGTTACCCTGTTGTAATACCTCTAATCTTCGGCACTTACATGACCTAATTGTGTTGCAAGTGCCGTAAAACGCTTACTAAAACCACGCATGTGTTATCATGCTTGTGCACATTTACTTGATGTGTAAATATTATAATTTTGTATATATACATATGTGTCCACCTATGCTTGATCGTCCAAGTCTGTGACAGTGTCTAAGCATAGGCGTACTTGTGTTAGTATTACTGTATGTGTATGTATGTCTGCGCGCGCGCATGTGTGTGTGTGTTAAAGTAGGTGACAGTCATACCTTCAACTTTGTCAACGTCTCGTGTCTTCATACACACACACACAC